TTTTTTTGGCTCCGCCCACGCGACCCAGCCAATCAGCCTCAAGAGCAGGAGAAGTGGGGGAGGTGGAGAGGCTTGTGGGAAGCCTGTGGTGGCAGTTGGGCTCTGAAAGTTTTTCCTGAGGAGCTGTGTGGTTTGGCATGTGTGGTTCTAAAAATAAAGTTCGTTTCTTTTGACAAGTGGCTCCTGAATTGTGCCCAGCCAGACTGCGGCATCGTAGGGCTGTTGCAATGTTAACACTTGTCAAGGCTTAGCCCAGGAACCCACCTGCATCGAGCATTCATTCTTTTGGTCACTCATACATTCGAAACATCTTTCCTGAACACTTAATAAGCTCTAAGCACTGAGCTAAGTACTTGGAGGTAGAACAGTGTATATTTTGTACGATTCGTGATTGCAAGATGGCAAACCAGGTCATAATCAAATAACTAAGAGAAAGGGCAGGATGTCAGATGGCGGAGAGTTCTATGGATAGCAGATTAAGGAGGATGGTGAGTGCCGGAAGGGCTGCTGCTATTTGATACGGGGTGAGCAGGGCAGGTCTCCTCAGGACATGGGAGGTGTGAAGGTGAGCCTGGTAGGATTGTTAGAGATGGATGGAATGGAAAATGCAAAGGTCCCAAAGTAGGAGCATGGCTGGTGTGTTCCAAGAACAGGAATATGTTGGGTGTGGCTGGAGAAATTTGAAGTAGACAGTAGCTGGAGATAAGGGCAGAGAGGTAGCTGGGGTCAGCAGTGCAGCGTTGGGTGAGCTGGGGTGAGCCAGACAGGTGGCACTGAATTTGAGTGAGGAGGTGATCCGGTCTGACTCATCTTTTAAAAGCAATGTCTGCTTGCTGGGCTGAAATCAACTCTAATGCGGACAAGGGTGAAAACGGGGAGACCTGTGATTGTAATCATCCAGGCCAGGGGTCAGCAAGATTATTCTATTAAAGAATCAGATGGTAAACATTTTCAGTTTTGAGGGCTGTATGGTCTCTGTAAACCAGCGAACATGGTGCATTCCAATAAAACTTTATTTACAAAAGCAGGTGGGGGTTGGATTTGGCCTTGGAGCTAAAGTGTGCTGTCTCCTGCTCTAGACAGCATGGTCATGTATTGGACCAGGGTTTGGCAATGGGGTGTTGAGAAGGGACTGAATATTTTGAAGGTAAATCATAACAGGAGCTGGGCATGGTGGTGCCTTCCTGTAATCTCAGTAGCTTGGGAAGCTGAGGCAGGGGGATGGCGAGTTCAAAGCCAGCCTCAGCAACTTAGCGAGGCCCTAAGCAACTCATTGAGACCCTGTCTCTAAATAAAAAATAAAAAGGGCTGGGAGGTGGCTCAGTGGTTAAGCGTCCCTGGGTTCAGTGTTCACTGTTACCAAAACACCAAACCAAAACAAAACAAAGAAACAATATAAAGAGGATTTGCTGTCAAGTGAGACGTGAGAAAGAGGGATCAGGAATGACTGTTTAGACCTGCGAAGATGGAAGGTTAGCTGTGCTGGGAGATGGAACAGCAACTGACCCCTTGGTGTGGGGAGAGTCAGGAGCTTTATTAAATTAAATTAAATTAATTAATTTGAGATGCACAAGGCTTGGGGTGCCCTTAGGCCTCCAAGGTAGGTGCAGGAGTCTGACGTCAGGAGGTGGGAATTCTGGAGTTGTCAGCATCCAGAGGCATCTGAAGGCATGGGATCGGATGCCATCACAGGAAGGAGAGAGGAGAGAGAACCCTGAAACCACCAGCAGAGGAGACCTGGGGGTCCCTGATGCAGGAGGAAAACCCAGACAATGCAGCACCTCAATTGAGATAGAGAACTCGATTGCGCTAAACGCTCTGTTGGTGGGTTGAACAGTGTTTACCCAAACTCCTCTCTACCGGAACCCCAGCAATTCAATCTTATTTAGAAATAGGGTCCTCGCACACATCGTCAGTTAAGAAGAGTCTTACTGGATTAGGATGTGCCTTGAACCCAGTGACACACCGTCATAAGCAGAGAGAGGCAGGCCATGTGAGGACAAAGGCAAGTCGTGAGATGAGGCGGGTGCAGCCTCAGACAGATGCCAAGGCGCTAGCAGCTCCGGGGAGCTGAAGATGCAAGGAAAGGTTCTTCCCCGGAGCCTTTGGAGGGAGCGTGGCTCTGCTGACACCTTGGTTTTGGATTCTTAGCCTCCAGAAGGGCCATAAATAAGTTTCTTTGGTCAGAAGCCACCTGGTTTGTGACAATTTATCATGGCATCCTTAAAGAACAGTGTATGTTACCAATGTAGGCAAGACCAGGACTGTGAGGGACCTTGGGTGTGGCAATGTCAGATGGTCAGAGGTGGCCTGGAGTTGTGCACCAGGCTGTTGGAGAGGGTCTGGGGAGCTGGGGGGAAAGGCTTGGAGACGGAGCATGAGGCATTATTTCATTTCAAAGGAGAGGAGAGTGGAGGACAGCCAGGCAGGAAGGCTCGGGAGGGGTGTGAAACACTCTCAAGTCAGTAGAGACGGCCTGGCAGGGGGGCAGGGGCAAGGGAGAACCAGCAGTGTCCTTGGGGACCGGATGATGGGGATGATGGACGGGGAGAGGCTGGAGTGGTGCAGGCCATCCACGGCAGGAGGGAGAGCTGTACAGGTGGGCAGGCGTGGCTGGCAGGTGGGGAGCAGGAGCTGAGGGCTTCTCCTCTGCTTGCTTCTTGTCTTCATGAAGCAGGAATCCAGGCTGGAGCTGAGACTGAGGCTGGGCAGGAGGCAGGCAGGGTCTGCACTGAGCAGGTCAAGTGGCCCTTGGGAGAAGGGGCCGTGGTTCTTACAGAGGGGACGCAGTGGCTGCGTGGCTGGGCAGCCCCTTGATTTCCAAGGCTGTGAATTCAGAGTGGGCAGGACGGGCAGTTCTCCTTGTAACCCATCCGGCTGCCGGGCCGGGTTGAGGGCAGGCAGAGAGCTGCATGAAACTAGCAAGGGGACAGAAGCCAGAAAGGGACAAGGACACTGAGGGTTGTGCCGGTTATCTCCTGCTGCATAACAAACCACCCAGTACTTAGAGGCTTCTAACAAAAACTGTTTTTCATTTTCTTGTGAATTTTCAATTTCTGGCAGGTGTTGGGAGGGGACGGCTTGTCCCTGCACAGCTGGGGTGACATCACCTGGGAAGTGGGGACTCACTTTTAACATGGTATAAAAGGCTGGTAATGGCCACCGAAGGTCTCAGATTGTCATCTGTAACTCTCATCTTGCTTAGAAAAGGGGTCTTTGCAGATAGGATTAAATTAAGGGTCTTGAGATGGGGAGTTTGTCTTGGATTATCTGGATCAGCCCTAAATGCAATCCCAAGAGTCGTTATGAGAGAGAAAAAGAGGGGACCTGGCATTCAGAAGAGGGAGCGGCATGTGACACTGGGGAAGAGACTGGGATGCCCAGAGCACCAGAGGCTGGGAGAGGCCCCCTGGATTCCCCCCTGGAGCCTCTGACGGAGAGCGGTGCAGCTGGGGCCT